TGGCTATTGCTACAAATATACCCCAGCGACTTAAGACTGGTTTTGTGGTCCAGGGTCACATATAATAAATAAACAATATATATAATAAAAACATAAATATAAAATTAATTAAAATAACAAAAAATAAAAATATACAAATAATATAATATACTTATAATGTAAAATAAAAATTAATAATAAAAAAATCTACCAATAAAAAAAAAACTAGTAACATGGTAAACCAGTAACAAATATAAATAATTTTAAAATATAATTAAAATTCTACATAATAAAAAATAAACATAAAATAATTTACAATAACATGATAAAGAAAAATACCCAAATATGATAAATAAAAACATAATACAAAATTATATTTTTCTTAATAAAATCAATAGATAAAAAAATCGAAATATCTAGTAACATGGTAAACCAGCAACAAATAAAATAATATATAATTTAAAAGACAGAATTAAAATGTAAGAAATATATAAAAATATTTAATAAAATATACTAAATTTAATAAAAAACTAAAATATACAAGTATCAAAAATATAATATAATAATAAAATAAATATCATTTAAAAAAATCTATCAGCAACAATGTAACAAACACATTAGTTTAGGCTTTATACATATACATATATTTATTATGGTTATATGTGTGAGTGTATATACCTGAATTGCCTGCACTAGTCTGTTGCTGAGCTCTAAGGCAGCTGAGGCTGTAGAGGTGCCGAATGATGCCGCCCCCCTCTGGAGGCCTCGGATAATACGCCCATCCTTCCGGTACTGCTCTATCGGCATCCAGAACAAATCACGCACACCATGGACTGCAAAGAATAAAAATACAGTACTTTATTGAATTTACTTTACTGAATACAGTATTTTCCTTTAAGTAGCCTGAGCAGAAAAGACAGCACTGCACATAAGTAAGATGTGACACGTCATACTCACTGAGTTGTACGACAGAATGCATAGGACCAACACCTCCCAGAATTCCTGGCAGCTGGTTCTTCCTGATGTCTGTAAGCCACTCATTCACAGCATACTGAATCACCTTATCAACACCCAGCAGCCTGAAACAAAACAACAACAACTCACTTTTCAGATCTGGATTTAAAGGTAAAGCAGGCAAAAAGGTGTTTACCCATGTCTACAGCACAATCTCTTCAGCTTTAGTTCAGAGCAGTTCAGCTGGGCCAGTCCAATCAGGATGCCTGCAAACGTTCCCTAGGAAACCAGAGATTATATACATTAGCGTAACAGCAGCTAGACTAAAACAAACCACTGATCTTATTCAGAAAAACTTTGTTGCTGTGTTTAAGCTCAGCACTCAAACTACACAGATAACTTTATGACCACATGAACATAAAGCATCAGTTATTTTATATAGGTGATCGCCAACCTGCTCAATTACCACATGCTTCCCGTGATAGTCCAGCCAGATGGGAACTTCAGACGTAAAACGAAACTCTCTTAAAGAGAAAGAGTGCGAAAGGACATTAATTATGATTTATACATTTGTTATGTTGGATAATGTCATGTGGTGCGATGCCAGATCTTCTACCTGAAGTAGATGGGCT